CACTGTGAGAAGCTCTGGCATTTATACACCCTTCAATCTCCAGCCAATCCAATAACGTTTTACATAAGTAAGGATTACTCCTTCTCTCTATTGCAGCTATTGGAACCCAGTATGAAGAGACTGAAAATAATTGACCTAGATAGTAATTAGTACCTGTGCCCCCTGGCTTGTATGTATACTATGGCTGAAATCTGTGGAATGAGGAAGGGTTGGGAACTGGTTTGGTCAGTGCCATTACCTATATATTAAGTCTGTAGCTCACGGTTTGTAAAAACCGATAAAATGGACTAGGTCTGTGAACGTACACAACCTTGTACAGAAAGTTATTATGTGTCCAAGGTGACGGCAAGAATAACAGCGCAAGATAGCCTAGATGACTCACTGCTCTTCTGGTGGGAGCTGGAAAACGGCTTTTGTACTATGAATCATGTGAAAACCTGTCTAATACTGTACATGAATGGAATTCCCAAAACATTCTCAAAAAAAATTTTGCTGAATTTTATACCATTTGGTTCTCATTATTTATTTTGATTAAGTTACAATCAGCAACTTTAAGAAGCTTACATATAACTATCACATCTGTTTAGTTATCGCTGACAGCTAACAACAATTTCTTCCTAATAAAAAAAGTGAAGCAAAGTAGCTAACACTGTTGTCTTGTAGCACTGGGGTCCTGGGTTTAGAGGTTTAGAAAGGATTGAGTGAAAAGTACTACCAGCATTTGAAAGATGTCAAGTTACTGCATCATGCCATGTTATCTCCCATTATATCTCTGATAATATATTGTGCCCTACGATGGTACTTCCATCTGCCTGCTTTTTGCTAACAGTTGAATTAATTTAAAGCTGAAGTTTAGGTGTAGCCATTTTTTTGCATAACTACATTGGTCCAGCTTGGACCAATGCAAGTATACATGTGCCATACCTGGCTGATCTTCAAGAAAGCTGGAAGTCACTGTAGTAGGTATTCAGCACTGCTAACTTCTGGGTCCTCTACAGAGTGGCTGCCTTGTGCATAGTGAACGCAGGAGGTCACTTATTTGGCATAGGCGACATTAACTCTGCATATTCTTAAAGCATTCAAAGAATTCTCTGAAAGTCTGAGGAGGAGATTGTGATGTCCTTCTGTCTCTGACGGGGAAACCCCAAAAACCATAAGGGGTTTCAGTAACTTTGACTGCTGAAGCCAAATATTAAAGTAGATTTTTATTATACAAGCATGCAGCTAGACCTCCATGCAGGGAGAACAATACAGTGTTGGATTCAAAGTAATGTTCTGAACGGCCTTGGAAAGCTAATACAATTTATATGTCCTATGATGGGTGGGATTATAGCTATCTGGCTGCTTTGAAGCTACATTCTGGTTTCTGGTGGAGATTCACACTAGCATGTTACTTCCCATTGCTTCTTTAGATAGCAATCTTCCCAGCTGGAGGTGTAAATAGCATTCTAACACAGGAAATACAGCTGTTACACAATATGACTTCTAATTACAAAATATATATCCACTTAATGAAAACTAAATGTTTAATATATAAGATGGCTGTTCCATTTTCCCTCACAGTCTCTATGCCGCATTCAATCAGAGACTGCATTTATTGAGAAAATGCAAAGTGTTCTCTGAATGGATCCCATGATGATTATCAAACACAGGAAGTCACTTGCTTAGCATGGGAGCAATTTATCAATGAATGAAAAGCATTCTCTGATTGGATGTGGTAGAGAGGAGTCACCTGACCCGGAAGCTAATGGCAATCACTGTGCCTACCGTAGTGATCTCCAGCTTTAACCACTTCAGGTCCGGACACTTTTACCCCCTTCCTGACCAGGGCAATTTTCAGCTTTCAGCGCTATCACACTTTGAATGACAATTGCGCGGTCATGCAATACTGTACCCATATGAATTTTTTACCATTTTTTTGACACAGATAAAGCTTTATTTTGGTGGTATTTATTCACCGCTGGGATTTTTATTTTTTTTACTATGTAAATGAAAATGTCCAAAAATTTTGAAAAAAAGTGTTTTTTTTTAAATAAAATTTTGGCAAATAAATATATTTCATCATAAATCTTGGCCAAAATTTTTTAGCCTTCCGTTATTTCTTTAGTAAAAAAAAAAATCCAAATTAGTTTATAACCAAAAATTATAACTTTTAAACATTTTTGTTTTACATTTTTATTTTATTTTTTTATATTATTATTTTTTATTTTTATTTTTTTTTACATACTGTCACCCTAGCAGTACAGTGTCACCATGGTGACACTGTACTACTTGTGGGGGTGATGAAGATTTTTTTTTTTTTTTTACACTGATTGCTTTTACACCCATATAGGATGTAAACGCAATCATTTCTCTTTCTCTCTGTCTGCATTCTTGCAGTCATTGAGAAGTACTGAGTGAGCTGTGATTGGTCACAGCTTGTCACATGGTACAAGGCTGTTCTGAATAGCCTTGTACCATGTGACCTCTGTGATCATTCACAGATTTCACACGTAGTAAGCAATAATGTCACATTTGCTTACTACATCTTGCTTACTACTTTGCATGTGATCACTGATTCGCCAATCAGTGATCACATGATCGGAGGACACAGCGGGCACCGGATCGCGGTGCTGCTGCGCAATCTCCCAGGGAGCGCACACGGCTAGAAAAGGCGGGTGCCGTTTATGAACGGCAACCCGCCCCTGGACTGCCACCGCCCTGCCATTTATTAAACAGCAGGCGGACGGCAAGAGGTTAACAGGGATGCCACAAGAGATGCTGAGTTTCGATCTGTCTATCAGCAGGCTGGTTGTTTTGATGTTAATCGACTTCAGTACAACCACCCTGTCAGATTTTTTTGCATGTTATTACTGCTGCTGACTATAGCCGCTAGTATGAATGATTTTGTTCTGGCAGCAGGGAGGGCTCCCTGCCAGCAGAACACAATGGCGTTGCAGAAGGGATTCCCCCATCAACACTGACTGTGTTGATGCGGGGTCTCCAGCGATTTTCTTTCCTGCAACCAAGCATCATCTAGAGCTTGCCTTAGTGGAGGAGGGTGTGTCAGTCCATTACAGGGAGACTGCTGCAGGAGGTCCTCCTTGTTGCCTGGGTTAAAGATTTTATCTTGGAGCTGATAACATACACAAACAACAGTAAGCCATTTAGAATGTATGTTTTACTGCACCCTTAAAGTGGTTGTAAACCCTTACATATACCCAGAGAAGTGACTAACTAGATGATACACAGAGAAACAAATCCTTCTCCTTGTATCTGTTTATCTGCAGTCTTCTCTCCTCTACATTCATTCAAAGTCCAGAATTTGAACTTTTAGAAATCAGGGGGCAGGGAGCTGAAGTTACTTTCTGCAGAGCTCAGTGAGGAGAGCTGATTGGAGGGAAGGGACACAACCCTTCACAACAGCACACAGGAATAGAGCTGAAGCTGTCAATCAATGTTTGTGTGCTGGAGCTCTCTCCCCTGTCACCATTCTTCTCTTGGTGTCAGGAAAACCTGTCAGAAGTGACTCATGCAGATATCAGAGTAAGGAGGCAGTAGACAGAAATGACACTTAGTGGTGATTTACTAAAGGCAATTAGTCTGTGCGCTCTGCAAGTGCAGTTGCTCCAGAGCTTAGTAAATGAGGTAAAGCTTCACTTTTCAAAATAATAATTGTTTTTCAAAATAAAACATTTTTGCTTGCACATGATTGGATAATGGAAGTCAGCAGAGCTTGATTTACTAAGCTCTAGAGCATCTGCACTTGCAAAGTTTACAGTCTATTTACCTTTAGTAAATCAACCCCAAGGTGCTCTGCATTGAAACATGTACACACAGCAAGTTATCTCATAATTTTACATCAGATGTCAATAGAGCTTTAAGCAGAAAGGCCCACACACACTGGGGGAAATTTACTAAAACTGGTGCACACAGAATCTGCTGCAGCTGTGCATAATACCCAGTCAGCTGCTGCATGCATCAGTTTTTAGTAAATACCCCCACTAAGACTCCCTGAAGAGTTGGTTCTGGCCAGCTCAGTGGATTGCTTTAAAAAAGGCCTGAATTCTGATACACAGAATATAACTGGATAGATAACATTTATAGATAAAGTTGATCCAGGGAATATCCAATTGCCTCTCTGGGGATCAGGAAGGAATTTTTTTCCCTGCAGGAACAAATTGGATCATGCTTTGCTGGTTTTTTTTGCCTTCCTCTGGATCAACTGTGGGTATAGGATTATAACTTTTTTTTTTTACTTTTTAATGGTTGAACTGGATGGATGTTTGTCTTTTTTCAGCCAGACTAACTATGTATGTAACTATGTCTGTATTTGGGTCAGTAGAGAACCAGACATTAGGTCCAAAAATTTTCCCCTTGTAACCATATTTGTAATTCATTAAGATCAATTGATTGGCAATGTGAAGCACTGCAAGTCCTAAATATGCTAAATAAGGGGATTTGCATTATCCTGGTGAAAATGAAAACTCCTTTACTCTAGGTTCACACCTAAGTGTTTTGCAGAAATGCACTACAGTCCATTTAACATGATTTCCTATGGGACACATTCACGCATTTTTACTCGCTGCGGTTTTTTGGAAAGGGTCAGGGACTTTTTTAAATGCAAAAAGTTGCGTTTTTGGTTATATAGACTTTAACCTCCTCGGCGGTATGATTCTTTCCGATTTTTTGTGCTGAAAGCGGTACCATTTTTTTGCATGGAAATATGTAGTTTTTTATTGTAGGCTGTAATTTTTAGGAATAACTCACTGAAATCTGTACGAACAAGAGTCTAGTAAACATTGCAGATATGATAAAACTTGAAACACGAAATCATAAATTATAATTTAATAAATAATCATAAAAAATAATAATGTATTAATAATAAATTTAATTCAATAATATAATCAAACCAAAAACACTGAAATTTGAAATACAGAAGCAAATTCGCACATCGCTGAGCAAAGTCACAAAATCGTTTTCAGTGTCTGATGACGAATTTCACCACAAATCATTATCACTCAATTCTGCAAGTGGTTACTGATTTTTGACTATCGCTGTTCTCTAGCTGATCTAAACCCGCTTTTACCCGCTTTTGACGTAAAGGGACACTTTTTGGACGCCATGGACTTTTCTAAGTTTCCAGGCAGAAAGAACAGTCAAAATGCAGGCAGGGCGCCGGACAAAGCAGTAGGGAGAAAATATGTGAAATGCATTGAAACAGCAATGACAGCAAAAATTTCAAATTTCCCGCCGGTTCCGGCGCCCGTACGTCTCGACGTCACAGGGACCGGAACACGGAAGCCGGATGCCGGCATCGGCCAGAGGAAATGGCCGGGGATGCTGCAGGGGACACATCGCGGGAGCGAAGGACAAGTTAAGTGCTGCAGGGACCCCCTGAGCAACGACTCATGGTAAGCCCGAGTATAGCTCGGGGTTACCGCTCTTGGTATTGAAATTTTACCCCGAGCTACACTCGGGAAAACCGCTAACGAGGTTAATGGAAATGTTGCAGAAAAGCATATAGTGCATTTTTGCCGCTTTTTTTTATGCATTTTGAGTTTCAAATCTGCCTAGCAACAAGGAAAAAAATGCATGCAAAACGCAGCAAAAATAGCATGTGCAAAAATGCAAAACGCACCGCAGAAACGAATAAAACGCAAAACTGCATAGGTGTGATCCTAGCCTTAGACAGGTGTGCTATATGATGCATGCAAATCTCATTTATCACATGCAAGCGATTTGCCACAGTTTGAAGGTTTTCCTTTAGGTGTCTTCTGTATGAGCAGCTGATTCTCTTTTGCCATACTACTGTCTGCAGTAAAACACATACACTTAATTATCATCTGCATGACAGCACAAAGCATCATATCTGTTATATTACTGTGAAGGAGTCAGAGTTTTCCCTAACCAACTCCCACACACACACAACCGCCCTTTGATCCCTAAACTTCCTCCTTTCTGCTCGTACCGCACCCTGGAGCTCGCCTTCATTCTTTCATCGTACCTTTTCTGTGCAGATTATGACTTCTGCTCCAACAGAGTGAGTCACCTGTGAGATTTACTAGAGCAAACACTGTTTTAAAGCAAACCTGTATGCAAGAACCAGGCACTTTATAAATGTATGTACTGCCAGTAAGAACCTTCTGGTGTTCGAGGACCACAATTACATATTTCAGAGCATCTTAGCTGAGCTTCAGCAGCTCCTGATTCTCTTTATCCACTTCAATACAGGCACTTATACCCCCTTCCTGCCCAGGCCAATTTTCAGCTTTCATCGCTGTAGCACTTTGAATCACAATTGCACGGTCATGCAACACAATTAGAACTTTCTTTTGGTGGTATTTAATCACCACTGAGTTTTTTATTTTTTGCTAAATAAAACAAAAAACACCTGAAACTTTTGAAAAAAAAAAAAAAACACACTTTTGTTCATTTCTATTATGAAATTTTGCAAATAAATAAAATTTCTTCATAAATGTAGATAAAAATCTATTCTGCTACATTTCTTTGATGAAAATAATAATAACTAGAAAAGCTACAATTTCCGGGGAAATTGTGCAAAGTGTTCTTGCCTCCACCAGTAGTCTACAACTGGAGTGGGCGGAGTAACTGGGAGGAGTGGCTTGTCACTCTGCTGCCTGCTCACACACCTGGGTTTCTACAGCTACAGGGCAGAGAAGAGCGGTTAAAAACAAACTGCTCCAACTTGCTCACTTCACTCGTGGTTGCCATCTTCAAACGGTTGTAGTTTAAAAATTATAAATCCTACACCGAAGAGCTTTATATTGTGAGAGACACAAGACCCAGACCTACCTTTTGATGCATAGTATGTCTCTGAAATATTAAAAATGAAGGCACAGTCGCAGTTTAGAAATTGCCCTTCATCTTTGAGGTGGCTAGAGTGGAGTTTCAATGAATATCAATGGGCGGCGTGAGCTGCAAACAAATGGTCATATTGTGAAAACTATCAGGACTATGGCTTAGCCGTGGACATATTTAGTGGCAGCAGGGATAGCTGAACGTTTTGATATAAGATTTGTGTAGGTGGGCTTGAAAATGAGGGAGTGGTGGCAGTTTAGAAATCATGTCCTGATTTTTCAGCTTACACTCTAGCTTTTGTCTGTTCCCACTCTAGTTTTGAACATTCCACCATTCATTCCTATGGGACCAATTTCACCACAAAAACGCCAATATTTGTGAACCATTCAGTGAAAAGTTCCACAAAGTAATAGCACACCAATCGGGAACAATCCGCACGTTACGGTATATTACTGTCTATGTAGTGTAAAAACTGTGGGAGGAGTTAGGGTGGTAAATTTGGCTATAATAATAAGAATATATGTGTGAGATAACAGTAAGTGGTCTTGCCATGCAAGAACACTTAATAATTGAATTTGTTTTTTTTTTTCAAATGTTTATTATTTTTTTATTAAATGTTTTCTTTTTTTTACTATTTTATTGTTCAGCACACTGACCAAAGCAATACAATGTTATACCCAGTAACACTGAACTACTCTGGGCAAGGATCAAGATTTTTTTTTTTTTTAACACTTTATGATTGCTAATACCAATGTATTTCATTTTATTTGCAATCATTTTTACTGAATTAAACCGATTCATTCAGGCTTTTGTTGTGATTAACTGTGATTGGGCAAAGCTGATCACATGATACAGATGGGCTATGATTGGCCCTGTCTGTGTAATGTGACTGCCTTGACCAGTCAAAGCTAACAACATATTGTATACAATGGATGGCATGACAGGAAGCCATCCATTGTATACAATTGTCATGTGATGTGCTGTGATTGGTCACAATGGTCACATGACACTGGAAAGGGGCTGGTGTAGTGATATGTCATTGGCTGTGTCCCGAGGACATAGCTGGCAACAGATTGCGCCACTGCGCGGCCACGTGTGTGGCTCGTTTTGACAGGAGTCATATGAAACCCAGTCACAATGGTGAGTGTCCCGCCCGGCTGTCAATCTGCTATAGGCTGGGCGGGAAGGTGTTAGAAACTCTGAGGTTCCCTGTGGACGATGCATCCAACAATTCAGTGTGGGTGGTTTGGCAACCAAATGAAATGGGTTTGCATTGCATGGTGGATATGCCTATTCTTGCACTACTAATAGAAATCACACGGGGCTGCTTAGGACTTTGTAGAATCTAAGTTCCCCAGCTAGGCCTTGTACTTGCGGGCTCCATCTTGTATAAGAGCAGTGTGCGCTGTAAGCTTTTGCAAAACATTTACAAATCTTTCAGAAAGCAACTTTGAAGGAACCTTCAGCTCCTGTTTAGAAAAGTTATACACCAAGCTAAATGGGAATGTAGATGGACACTTTAAATAAACTATTAGCAGGCTTTAGAGAGCTTCAGCACCACTTGAAACTTACAATATAATAAAAACACACATTGTAATATAGAATCTTAACCATAATTGCTTTCACCTATTTTAAAAATAAATATTTTCTACCTATTTATTAAGATGTGTTTTGACCATTTAGCCTTTCTTCTTGTACCTTTCTTCATAGCGTGGGGTGGGCACTGTGTGACATCATACACAGTGGAGAATCCCATTCTCCATCTATGTAAGCTGCAATCAGCTGTTAGTTTGACAATGACGGTCTGTTTGGGAGCCACTGTCAATTGACCCAGAATGGCTGGGCAGGGAGCATGGCACTGAACTGACTACGGGAGGTAGAGGCACGCTGTGAACACGCACAGTATCCTGTATCTCCACAGAGGTACACAAAAACACAATGTACTATACCAGCATGGATCTGTTTTTGGGCTTGGTGTTTTCAGAATGAATAAGTGTAGAAGGGGAACTGGTAGAATCAACCTGTATTTCCAAGAAATTAAAGAACATAAATTCAAATAACATAGAATAACCAACAATGAAATGAAAAACAGACACATTTATGTGATACTATTTTTGGGGTAACATACACTTTAACTAAAGCTTGTTTGTTAAAAAAAAAAGTGACAGACAACACTACCATTTAAATGTATGTTTAACGTCCTCAAACTGGAACGGGAGATTGCTATAGAACAGGGGTGCTCAACCTTTTGAAGAGCAAGAGTCACAAGTGATTTGGTAACTGGTTGCAGACCATAATGAAAAGAAAGTTCAAATTTTTTATTTTGAATAGCATAATGAACATTTTCATTCTGCAGCCACTGAATGCTGACAGGAGGGAGATGAGGAAAAGCTGGCTTTCAGCCCTTGCAGGAGGAAAATGGAGAGGATCAGTCCCTGTATAAACCACCCCTCCTGTCCAAGTGTAAAACAGAACGTGACAGGGAGGCCGCGGGTAAGCACTGACGCTACACCAGTAGTTGGGGTGTGTGCTAAAAACCAGGGGCAGACTGACAACTCATGGGGCCTCTGGGCAATAGGGGATCATGGGGTCCCCTGTGTCCTTGCCCACACTCAAAAAAAGCCTATAATAGGTACCAGGGGCATTTCATGGGACCCCCTACAGACCCCAGGCCCTCGGGCAGTGCCCGAGTTCTCGAATGGTCAGTCCTCCCCTGCTAAAAACACATCTCAACTATGGGGTTTTACTGCACCCCCAAACCACAAATGTAAATGACTACTTACTGTCCTGAGCCCCCTGAAAGGCTGCTTTCACATGATGCACTGTGGTTTACTGTCACCGTGGCTGCAGCGCAGTGCACCTGCAGCTTTCCTGCGTGTTAGCTGTGCTTTGCCATAGACTTATTATTATATCTTGCAGGTGTGGTGAATGGTGTGGTGTTCTGAATTCTGGAGTTTTGGTGTGCTTTCAGAAAGAGCACCAAATCCATAACATATAATAGAAGTCTATAGCTTGGTGCAGCTAACCCACAGGAAAGCTGCATGTGCACTGCACTGCACCTGTGGATCAGTGTGTTAGCAGCCTAATAGCTGTTAACCGTTTTATAGGTGCTAATATACCCATCGCAAAACCACGGTGTACAGTATGTGTTGTCTAATACATTGACCTTCTTTTCCTCTTCCAGCTTCTGCTGGCATTTCTCTCCAGGCTGCTAGTAAAGTGCACTTGGTATCACTCTGCCTGGGATGGAAGCCGCTCCTGCACCCTCTGGCTTGATGCATTCTGATGCTCTGGGATGGTGGGTCGGTAAGCCCATTCACGATCAATGGGTTGTCAACCCTAGGCATGTGCTTCTATGGTTTGAGGTCGTGGTCCACATCAGAGGGCTAAGAGGGGTTTAGAACTCTTGTTTAAGAAGCTTCCGCATGGCTACTGGAAGCTTGCTGAAAGCATTGCAAATGCTCTGAAAAACCTGCTGTACACATAGTTCTTACACAAATGTAGCGCAACCCCTGAAGGAGCTGCTTGGTAATTTT